CAGTCTCGCATCGCGCCAAGATTTCCGGAGGGATCTCTGGGACAGATGGCATAAGATGCTTCTTGGCGCCCTGTCAGGCTACACACACACTCATGAGTACACATGGCTGAACTTGCAGAAATTAATCATCATCCCCAGCCTTCACCACGGCCAATGCAGAATCAGGATTTAAAACTGGAACCATGGATTGCAAAGCCTCCTGATTTGCCGTCACCTGAGAGTACCCACGCGTATACGTATCAAACCATGAATCATTCTAGAAATGAGTGCAAGGAAACGTTTTAGGCTTGTATATATATATAAAATTAGCAGAATATATTATAGTTATTATTATTGGGGGGAGGCGATCGCGGATCACACCATAATTTAAGGAAAGTCTCCTTTGGCGGTGCCATGTTTGTCACGGCCTCTGTGTCTGAAACGGCACCCTCCTGAATTGCAATTCTATTCGAGTAACTGCAATGAAGTGGGCGGGATGAATGCAGCCAAGTTTCGGTATCATTTCCTCGGACCACAGATTGCAAAGCCTCATGATTTGCCGTCACCTGAGATACCACAGGTTAAGAAAAACTCGTCAATTAAACTTTCGGGGTGCAATATGGGGGCAAGCTACTCAATTAGTGGGGTTGGGCTTCGATTATGGGCACGATCCCGGATCACACCATATCAGTTAAGTCTCCTTTGGTGGTGCCACGTTTGTCATGGCCTCTGTCTCCGGATTGGCACCCTCCTGACGTGAGGAAAATATTTGAATTCATCGTGTGAATCATACTCATCATGATGATATTGCACGAATGAAAGCAGCCAAGTATCGATCTCATTGGCCGGGGCATTCATCATCTCATTTGCAGTCACCTGAGCAAGGGGCAGAATTTAATTTTGGGTTCGGGGCTAGGTCTGTGACGGAGACAACCCCAGATGGCACCAAAATTTTATATACGTACGGATGGTAAATATAATTATAAACATGTTCCATATAATCTCGCCTCCTGATCGGTGGCAGCTTGCGCTCGAAATTGTTGCCCAGCCTCCCAACCACCAAGTTCATAACTGACCATACATACACAGAATCTTGCCCCAACCTATGACACACAGTACAATCATGAATTAATATCTACACCTGCCTTCGGGGGGCTCATCCTCACCAAAGCGGGAGATCCAGTGGCAGAGGATGCAATGGACAAAGAACTCGTGGTTCGCAAAGGCATAGCCTGCAAGGATAGCGTGTATGCGTGTAATTTTGAGTTCATGATCAATATTCTGCACACTACGCGTACTATGCCTTTCGCAACTTCGCTGCTTCCGCCAGCGCCATGTCCTTATAATAAGGAATTTGGTCGAACAGCACGTGTATCCTGCTAGCTAGGCAGCCTCTGTCCCACATCCAGCAGATCGCTGCTGGCCTCCATGGCCTCGTGTCGGAACCTGCAAATGCGGGAAATCGCTTTGTAATGCTGACGCCTCCTAATTCTACATAATTTTTCATCATGAATGAGTACAATATATCTTGCCTCCGCGGGTCCACCTGCTGCCCTTTCAGCTTCAGCAACAGGCGCAGTCACCTAAACATTTACGCCGCAAGCTGGACTGGGTCTCACATGCGAATGCGGATGCAAACAAACATCACACACAAGTGAGCGTGACATATTCCGACTTGAAACAAGGAACTCCATCGGCACTCTCAGGCTCTCCATCATCATCATCCGGCACGAAAATTGGCTGAACATGAGGCTTCACATAGACGATCTCAAGTCCATCTTCATACAGCGTGCCTGAGAAACCTGAAGGGGCAGATTGATCATGATTGCATCATTATTACAATATATCAGGCCCTCACATTCCAGCTGAACTTGGGTCTCCATGTTGTCACCATCCAAGGCGTTCTGATGAGGAATCCCCCCGGGGGACTCCAAATCCTCCTGATCGATGGCAAATTATCATGCACATGTCAAATGTCGATATCATGCTCGTGACACCATGCATGGTCGTGACTCTGGATCCGTCCTTTGAACCCCTTGCCGGAACAACAGCTTTGCAAGCGCGGACAATTTCTTTCAAGTGGGCCATGCGGCTGTCAGGTGACCTGGCCATCCAGAACTGCATGTCTTAGTAACCCTGATTTTTTTCGGTTCATGTCTGGAAATGCCAATTAAGCTGAGAGACCTAGCATCTTTGTTCGCCAAGCTTCGGCGGCGTATGTACGAGGCTAAGGCCCGATGAAGGCCCACTTCTGTA